TGGTATTTTTGCATTTAGGAATTTTTTACCATTAAAATATATTTATAGGAATGTCTTAAAGGGGTCATATGATGCGATTTCAATTTTTCCTTTCTCTTTGGAGCGTTCCGTGCTCGTCACAGTAGCACCCCGTGACAGCGTGCATATTATGATGTCCATGGTGAATATTGATGTTATAATGGGAGCAGGTGTGCACTAATCAATGTGGCACTGAGGAAGAGCTTTTGTCTCGAAAACGTTTTGCACTTTTCACTTTTTTACGGCCTCTGATTAAGCGTTGTACTAAAGTTTTTTGAGGAGGTTTTGCCCTGCATTTGACCGTGTGCGGATTGTTTTTTCTGCTGGCTTCATGTTATTTTTGGATTTACGCACTGGACTAACTTTGTGACTTGATATTGGACATCTGGCGCTGCTCTTTATATTTGTTATCAGTCATACTGTCCACACTGAATTAAGTCAATACAAATTGGTATAGTCATTACTGGTAACTGTGCTCCCAAGAAAAGCATAATAAAGTATTAGTCAAAAAAAAAAAAATCCTCCTGTTCAAAAACTTTTGACTGGTAGTGTATTCAGATGTAACCCTCCTTTGCAATAAGTAACTGTAATTTAATTACACATTTTTTCCCCTCAGTAACTGTAACAGATTACAGTTACATTTATTTTGTAATTAAATTACGTAACTCTGTTACATGTAACTAGTTACTCCCCAACACTGTGAATGGGACATGAAAATGTATTGCACAGAAAGATTGACCTGCCAGGTAACAGGTGTTAAAAGCCAGATCACCTTTACTTTGTCTGTTGAGCTTCTTTCTCTGTTTCTCCTCTTTTCTTTGGGTTTTTTTCGCCTCCGGCCTCCTCTCCCAGTTGCGCTGCTTGCGCATGACATTCTTCTGCACAAGCATTAAATCAGGAAACACGCTAGGAAATTAATTTATCTCGATATTATGACTCAACTGTCTCGCCTTACAGAGCGACTTTAGACGCACTTTCTGCACAACAGCAGCTCTCTTCTTCCATGTGGTTTTATGTCTAAAGTGAGATGGATGTATATTCCCCACAAAGCACCAAAAATCACCTAAAATGTTTCAGATATAAATGTATGTGTGTCACGATGAAATGAGGATCACGGATACGGATAAAGCGAAAGCAAGTTTGATGTTACGCTGCTAAAGATTATCTCCTCCGACAAACTGAAAGAGGAAGCGAAGAATAACTGAAACACATTAGATTTATAAGCGTCTAAAAAAATAAAGCCACTGTAAAAACCTTTCGTAAAACGACACAAACACCACAACTGCGGTGAATAATATTTAGGTGTATTTATCGACACCACTCGGCGCACTGTGATGACGCACCGACCACGCGGTTGCTGCGCAGATGGTTTGATGTGGCATAACATTTGGAAATTACCTCATAAATATTTAAGCACAAATAAAGTAGAATACATTTCTTTCAAACTCATTTATAAATATTACCCCAGTAAATATTTCCTTTAGCTGTGATATATTGATATACTTTCTACATTTTGTAGTCTAAAGCCTACAGAAACGTTTTTATTATTATTATTTGTTTTGGAGTTGTCCTTATTCAACCAGTTTTTGGTCAGATTTCTGCTTGTTTGTTAGATATCATATCATGCCCAGCGTTCAACTTTGTTTTTAAACTATTTTATTAGTTTTATTTATTTTTACTTATGACATGTCTTTCCATAAGGAATATTATTTGATTAATTTGTTACTTTTAATGGCAAAGTTTTGTATACATAAATGTAAGCACGGTGATTATAAACCACTATTTATAATTTTGAAATCAGAAGTTCAGCAATACCGAAAATCTGTGTATAATCTGATAAACAAGAAGCTGTTAAGTGTATTCATGTATGTAAACATTTCCATTTTTTATTTAATTTTTTAAAAATCTTTTTATTATTATTTTTATTATTATTTTTTCATTGTCTCCACCCCCTGGCTTCTGTAAAATGCTGAATATGAGTGTTTCAATAAAAAAATAAAAGTAACTATTGCACAAAGATCAATTGTGTACAGTTTGGATCAATAATAGAAGAAGACAAATAAAGCTTTTAGTTTCTTTCCATTCATAAACAAAAATTTTTTTAAATCACCACAGCTGCATCTTTAAAATGACTTAAAACAGTCTTCAAGTCAATAATTTGTCAATAAAATCAATATGGTTTTATATAATATAACCCATTTACATTCTTATTTTATTTTTGTGCTATTTCATTTATTTGTTTCTGAACATCTGCTGATGTTGCATCATTGCTATAATGTTCAAATGTAAAATGTTTATTATTACATCAACACATGAACATGCATATCTTTACTGGTATTTAGCAAATTTCATATTATTTCAAGATCTGCTATATTACTTTGTTATATATTTTTTTAATATCTATAATGAGTTCCACATTATTTACATGTATTATTTTACCAGAAGCTTTTGTGATTTACAAAGACAGGAGTATATACATAAGTGATTCATAATCATTATGAGATTATAACATCAATGTGTTATAGTGCAAACCCTCATAATAATTCCAGATGAGGTAGTTGAGTTCAGAGACGTTTATGATAAGTGTCTTTATTGGGAACTGCCATCTGCATGTGACAAGGGGAGTTTTCATGTGGTTGATTGTTGATTTGGAAGAAGCTCTCATTCACATAAACTATAAACCATAACTATAAACCAGCATCATACACTGGCTATAGAAAATAATCACCCCCCTTTAAAATAAACACATTTTGTTGCTTTGCAACCTGAAATTAAGACAAGACAACATTTTTGTTTTATCCAGCTGTATTTATTCAGTGCAACTTATAACATGCAAGTGAAAGATATAACACCAACAGAAATAAATCATAAAAATAATTTAAAAAAAATCACTGAGTTGGAAAAAGGATAGCCCCCTTCTGTCAGTATTTTGTTGAAGCATTTTTTTTGCTTTAATTACAGTCTTTAGTCTGTTGGGATTTGTCTCTGTCTCTACTAACTTTGCACATCTAGACTTTGCAATATGTGCCCGCTCTTCTTTGCAGAACTGCTCAAGTTCAGTTCAATTAGATGGTGAGTGTTTGTGGACTGCAGTCTTCAAGTTATTGCACAGATTTTCAGTGTGGTTTAAGTCTGGGCTCTGACTAGACCATGCAAGGACATTCAGGTTTTTCTCCTTCAGCCACTGTCTGCTCAGTTTTGCTGTGTGCTTTGGGTCATTGTCATGTTGGAAGGTAAACCTTCTTCCCATTGACAACTTTCTGGCAGAGGGCAGCAGATTTTCCTCAAGAATTTGACAGTATTTTGTGTCTCTACTAACTTTGCACATCTAGACTTTGCAATATGTGCCCGCTCTTCTTTGCAGAACTGCTCAAGTTCAGTTCAATTAGATGGTGAGTATTTGTGGACTGCAGTCTTCAAGTTATTGCACAGATTTTCAGTGTGGTTTAAGTCTGGGCTCTGACTCTGACATTCAGGTTTTTCTCCTTCAGCCACTGTCTGCTCAGTTTTGCTGTGTGCTTTGGGTCATTGTCATGTTGGAAGGTAAACCTTCTTCCCATTGACAACTTTCTGGCAGAGGGCAGCAGATTTTCCTCAAGAATTTGACAGTATTTTGCGCCGTCCATTTTTCCTTCTATCCTGTCAAGTGCTCAAAACACCCCCATAACAGGACATTACCACCTCCATGCTTTACTGTATGCTGTTATTTGGATGCTGAGCTGTACTGGATTTCCGCCAGACATATCGTTTGGGGTTGAGGCCAAATAATTCAATTTTAGTCTCATCTGCCTCGAGGTGCGTTTTGGCAAAGCTCAGTCGTGACTGCATGTGGCTTTCTTGAGGAGTGGCTTTTCTTGCAACCCTCCAGATACATTTATGGAGAATTTGTGATATTGTTGTCACATGCACACAATGACCACTCTTTGTCATGAATTCCTGCAGCTGCTTCAGAGTTGCTGTCGGCCTCTTGGTCGCCTCTCTGACCAGTTTCCTCCTGGCTCGATCATCCAGTTTGGAGCGACGTCCTGATCCAGGGAGGCTCTGTGTTGTACCAAATACAATAATAGACTTCACTGTGCTTCAAGGCATTGATAAAGCCTTTGCATTTTTTTGTATCCATCTCCTGACTTGTGCCTGTGTAACCCCCACCCAGGTCCTACTACTCGCACCTGCTCCGAGCAGGACTCGAACCCGGGTCACCAGCATGGGAGGCAGGCACACTAACAAGGAGGCACTGTTACACCTGTCCACAACTTTATCCCAGAGATCTTTTGACAGTGCCTTGCCACCCATATTTGATTGTTTGCTTCAGTTGCACTACCAAGGACTGAAATGCTGTAGGAAAGCTCTTTTCATGCTGAGCTGATCAAAACGAGCACAGCTGAAAGTCAAATGGCTTTGTGTGCCATTGAGAAGGTGATTAGCTACATCTGATTGAGTTTACAAGTAATTTTAAGGTGGGCGGTGATCATTTTTCCAACTCAGTGATTCTGTTTTTTTTTTTTTTTTTTTTTCTGACGTGTTGGTGTTGTATCTTTCACTTGGAATTAAAAATCAGCTGGATAAAACAAATAATGCAAAGCAAAGCAACAAAATTTGATATATTTCCCTTAATATTAAAATAAATTCTTACTGAATAAGAATCTTAGTCTATCTATCTATCTATCTATCTATCTATCTATCTGTCTGTCTGTCTGTCTGTCTGTGTCTGACTTGGATGTCGTAAGTTGCAATGAATAAATACAGCTGGATAAAACAAAAACTGTGTCCGTCTTCATTTCAGACTGCAAAGAAACAAAACGTGATTATTTTAAAGGGGGTGATTATTTTCGGCTCATCTGGCCAGATGAGGTACTCTTGCCAACAATATAATAAACTGATGTAGACATAAAACAAACAATGCTGAAAAAAAGCATATCTTATTTTAGTGAATGGGTTTTAGTGAATGGGAATTGTGGAAATACTCATATCTGCTGAATGATCTTTTATCTTCACATCCAAATGCAATCAAACGGATATCGTTTTCGTGAATCATGACTGATTTTCCTGCTTCTGTGAATCAAAATGATCAGCATACTTTCACACGAGCCATGAATGCACACTGTACAGATAAGAAATGAGCCTGTTATCAGTAATGTCTAGTTTCATCCTATCTTTGGTTTTCATATGAAGGTTCATTCTCAGAGGCATCTGATTTTATTGTGATAAATAAAATCCCAAGACAGCAGGTGGATTTCTTTAGAAAATGGACTGTCATAATCTCAAATATATATGTTCTCAATAAATATGTTTTGGATAATGAATGAGGTTCGTGATTTAGTGATCGCATCGGGCTCTCATTTAAACGTTTGGCCGTTCAACCAATTCTAATCCATCTGGACTGAAACCACATTGTGAAATGCAGAATGCAAGAAAAACTTATGTGGAAAATGATTTCTGGCGAAAATGTTGCTCATCTGTTCAAAGGAAAGTGAGCAGAATTGATGTTATTAAAGAAATTATTTATTAAAAACATCATCCATACATTTCAAATTTTTTCAGTGAAACAGCAATTACAAGCAACACCAAAAACTTTGATTATTTGTATCAGTGTAAAATGAAAATCAGTGTACAAGACGGTATCTGTAGTGTAGCATACACATCACTTTGGTTCATCTTGAAGTAATTGTCAGGACAAACATGTATCAATCAAAATGAGAGGCTCAGAATACAAGACAAACAAACAGAAATCTTATTCTACAGGAACCAAAAATATGTCAGAGACGACAAAACTAGCATACAAGTGCAAAAACTCTTCTAGTGAGTCTTGTGAGTAGTGAGAGTCAAAGAAATATAAGTTACAACATCAATGTCGTCTACATTTTCTTGGTCACTCGCTCCTTTCTCTCAATGAAGAGAATGAGTTTTTTAACCCATGGTGTCCTGGGGTTCAGACAGATCCTCTCTCCACTCGATAAACCAGCACTGAAAAGATAAAAAAAAACAATTATGTAGAAGATACACTACTGTTGAAAAGTGTGGAGTCAGTAAAAAGTAATGAATACTTTTATTCAGCAAGGATGCATTAAATTGTTCAAGTGTCATTTAAAGGTGACATATCATGAAAATCTAACTTTTCCAGGTTTTAAGTGCTATAATCAGGTCCCCGGTGCATCTACCAACCAAGGAAACGTGAAAAAGATTAACTCAGTAACTTTGTTTTGGGAAACCTTTTTCTGCAAGCGTCTGAAAAAACGAGCGAAACTGTATATCAGAAGTTTAAACTCATATGGTTTAAAACGCATGATTTCAGCGCGATAAACATGATAATCATAACCAAAACAGATGTTTTTAGCAGATACGAGCTGTGCAGCTTTATTCTGGAAAAAGGGGCGGGGAGCAGCAGCTCATTTGCATTTAAAGAGACAGGTCCAAAAAACATCGTGTTTCTACTTCCACTCTAAATAGGCATTTTCAAATTGATATAATAAATGATCTGTGGAGTATTTTGAGCTGAAACTTCACAGACACATTCTGGGGACACCAGAGACTTACATTACATATTGTAAAAAGGGGCATAATATGTCTCCTTTAAAATGACACAAAAGATTTCTATTTGAATAAATGCTGTTCTTTTGAACTTTCTATTCATCAAAGAATCCTGTAAAAAAATATTAGGCCGCACAACTGTTTTCAACATTAATAATTATAATAAATGTTTCTTGAGCGGCAAATCAGCATATTAGCATGATTTCTGAAGGATCATGTGACACTGAAGACTGGAGTAATGATGCTGAAAATACAGCTTTTGATCACAGGAATCGATTACATTTTGCAATACATTCACATAGAAAGCAGTTATTTTAAATTATAATAATATTTCACATTTTTTGTGTTTTTACAGTATTTTTGATTATTAAAACAGCCTTGGTGAGCATTAGATTCTTCTTTCAAAAACATCTCGGCAGTGTATGTGAAAATATATGTAAATAATGATCAACTAACGAAATTCATGCTTAAGTTCAGTAAGCCATATTATAGCCCTATAATGCAAAAACACATTCTCAGACATTCGCATTTACAACACCTGGTCTCATAACTGAGAGGTCAATCGAAATACTTCAGCAAGACACGTGACTGGTGTGAGGAAATAGCCTACTTACATAACCTCAGTAGTCTTGCAGTGCGAGCCTCTCGGCAGGATCTCCACGCGCCGCAGGTTCTCCTGTGGGATGATCCGCGACTCCAGTTTCAGACACACGCAGCGGCTGTTGTAACCCGCGCCCAGAGGCTGCACGGCTGAGGGAGGAACACAACCGTTAGCAGGCTGGGAAAGTGTGTCCAGCAGTTACACAACTGTAAACTGACATGTGATTTAATGGTCTTGTGCAAACAGGGGTTTGTAAAATAGTAGCGTGCAACAGTTTTGAGGAAATGGGAAGCAAGTTCATCACGGTTCCACGGAAGATGCTGAAATGTAGATTATGTATAGGCTACAGGGACTCACACGAGAGTCACCGGCCACATTTCGAATGAAACTGGCATTTAAATAAGCTCCATATGTAAGTTTTTGCCTTGAAATGTTACTTTCAAAACTGTTGAATTGAATGTGTATAGCCGCTACAACTGAGTCATGGTTTCTACAAAAATCACTGTAGTGATGGTCGCTTTCGAAGCACTGCTTTGTGAAGCTCAGAAACATTTGCAAATCATTTGTTTATGAATCAGGAGTTCGGAGCGCGTATAAAATGCTGCATTCACGCCATGTCGTAATTACTGTGATTTCGAGATGACAACACGTGACGTTCTACTTGGAGCTGTTCACACCCTTGCACTATCAATGCCTAAACATAGCGCCTACACTCTTAAAAATAAAGGTGCTTCACGATGCCATAGAAGAACCTTTTTGTCTAAATGGTTCCATAAAGAACCTTTCTGTTTCTCAAAAGGTTCTTTGTGGCGAAAGAACGTTCTTCAGATTATAAAAAATGGTTCTTTAAAGAACCTTTGACTGAATGGTTCCTCTATGGCATCGCTGTGAAGAACCTTTAGAAGCACCTTTATTTTTAAGACTGTAATGAATCTGAGGTGGTCAGGTGGTACAAGTTGTAGCTCTCAGAAAACTCCCAGTTCACAAGTTGAAATTACGAGTTCTACGAGGACGTGAAAGCTTCTTACAAGTTGGTATCTCGTAATCACGGTAATAACGATATGGCGTGAACAGCTAAAATGCCAAAGTCACGTGATTTCAGAGGCTTCTTTACTGCGTAATTGTTTCGAAATGTTTCTATATTTCAACGGTTCGTCACTAGTAGACGATCTGTAAACCTAGTCTGTGATTTTTACTTGATCTAGGTCTCGGATCAATTTTATAAATTTGTAGACATTTTAACGACATTTAAAAGAAGGATAGTAGGCTAGTAGTAGATAGTTTCCTGGCCTGTTTAGCCAGGTCTTCCATAAAAACAAACAAAGCAAGCAATTAATAAAAGAACACATATTATACAGATATTTCGTATTTAATGGTATTTTTATGAATTGCTAATTGCATTTAATAGATTAGACTTTCAACAAAACATTTGCAATTGGTTTGTAAAAAGAGTTTTTATGCATATTCGAGCTGAGATTTTGTTGCATTTAAACCGGCCTGACCAGCAGGCATCACTGGCGTGTGGCGTTTCGAGCGCTTCAAAACAGTGAATCATTTTGCGAAGCAAATAATTAAATTGATTCAAAGATTCGAAAATTGTAATTTCTCCCATCACTAACCACACTCCTTTTGAGTGGGTATGAAATTCTGCGAAAATGGCGGATTGCTTTATGTCAGCAACAAATGCACGTGTACAGCTATTCACTATAATCAACAGTGATATATTTACAACAGTGAATTCCACTCACTTAACTACATACAGTTGCTTTAAATATAGGTACTTTGTTTAAAAAAAAAAATTATATTTCGCCCGCTGGCTGATGACCAGTGGAACTGGTTTCGACCTGGTAAACCATCAACAAACCAGCTAATTACTAGTAATTTATAAAATATAATAAACATATAGTGAAGATGAAGCTTACCATCAGACAGAACGATGCTGACTCCAATAACGGTTAACATCAGGAAAGCGTTCATGATTGTTGAAGCTTCTGCAGTCGATTTCTGTGTAGAAACTCTGAAGATCAGATGCTGTTATTTGGACTGCTGCACAACCTTATATATTATGATTTCAAAGGCCTCGTGATCTACAAAGTAGTGATTTTATTTCACTTCCCTAATCGTTCTGTGTGCGTGTGTGTGAAGGCTTGTGTGTAAATATGTGGTTTGGATCTGTTCACATGTTCATCAGCCGTGTGTCATCTGGATGCATCTCATGTTCGGCCCGGTTACCACGGTCAAAATCCCCCTGGAGTCCCAGACTGTTTTAACCAAAAAATTATACGTCAAGTGCATGATTTTCATTTGACTGCTTACCACAGTTGGAAAATTTCTTTAATAGCCCAAATATGAAATGTAACATTAATCAAATAATAATTTTAATAAAATGCTAAATTATAATATATTATATGCATATTGAATTTATATAAATATTGATTCTAAATAATGATGAAATGTTAATATAAATGTTAATCAACCTGGTTAATAACTTGATATTTATATTAACACTTGCCATTTGTATAATTGATATTAGCCTTTACATTACATTTAAGCATCTAGCAGACACTTTATCCAATGAGACTTGCAATTGAGCAACAAAAACAGTTCATCAAAGGGATTAATCATATACTGATTAAATATTATTTTAATATTCATATTGTGGTTATTTACATTCGATACCCCAGTTGTTTCACAGTTGTGTCACCTGAGTTTTAAGGAGAGATCTCAAAAATGTCTCAAACTGGGCTAAGATTTGCGATCTCAAACACTTATCATCCAACTCTTATCAAATGGTCTGGGCTGCACATTAATTCGAAAACCATTCACAGCTGATGACCTATTTGTGATTGCTATTCAGCTCTTCTTCAGAATTTTAATTTTAAACTTCTGAGGCACAGTAATTGAATAGTCTTTTAATAATTGAAGTCTTTTAAGTCTCTAGAGCTATAAAAGAGCAATAAACTTCGGATGTGTGTGTGTATGAATTGTTTGCACAGCCTGTTGTACTGCTGATCTCAATCAGGACAGGAACGTCCCAGGAACGTCCCAGGAACGTCCAGGAACGTCTATCTATCTATCTATCTATCTATCTATCTATCTATCCATCCATCCATCCATCCATCTATGATATACTGATACTGAGCAAAAAAAAAAAAGAGCGTCTCACATTCAGCTGCTTTTATCTACAGCAAATGTCTTAACTTGCAAATATTTGTATTAACATAAAAAGTTAAACAACTGGGACATAAACGGAAGTTTCACAAGAATTTGATGAATAGGAACAGAATAATGAGTCCCTCAAGGGGAGGATCAGTATCAAATGTTGCTGTGTGTATTTTGTGTTTCCACCAGCTGCTGTTACTTGCTGTTCCTTTGTAATTATTTGTGAAAATTAATAGCAATTTCTGAGAGAAAATTATTTCACCAGCATTGCACCTTGTTTAGCGATATTTTATAGAAGTGACAGAAGAATTTGCAACAAAATACTGTTGACTGTATAGATGCCAACAACAAAAGGAAGCATTTCCCTCCCTTTTAAAACTTCTATTATAATATCCCAATTTATTTTGTTGTCCTATACTATATGCTCAATTAAATAGTAGTTGCATTTTATTATATGGTTAATTTTTGGGTCACTACTCAACAGTTACTAACCTGTGCTATATATGTTGCAAGTAGTTCTTAATCTGTGGAAAAAATTCCTATAATGGTCTAATAATTCATTCTGCTGCACGTTGTGAGACTGAACAGAGCAGCAGTCTTACTACAGCACATGATGAGAGAAGCACACATGCCGAGTGAATCATCTTATCAGAAAAGATAAATCTGCCAGAAAATGAAGAAAGAGGTCAGCGTCAGTTTAGAGGCAAATGCGTGAAGAAAAGTGAGTTCATCAAAAAACCTCATGACAAGTTATAGCACAGGTGCATTTATCACTCATACAGTACACTGCTATGACTTCCATGCAAGAGAAACGCATTTGATGTGGAAACTTCTGGTGCGAATGTACATTAAGCATTTATATACCATTATGCACTTCAAAGAGAAGATCAGTGGAAGTAGTGGAAGTGGAAGTAAAAGAGCATCTTGCATCATTTATTATGTATTATGAAATCACCATTAGGACGTTTTCCCAGAGAGCAAATAATCCCACAGACATTTTTTAAAACATGTTTAAGCAATAGTTTGCCACAAATTAAATAGTGTGATCATTTGCATGGTACTAAAACCATATGACCTTCCTTCTGTGGAATCTATTACTTTTTAATGCAATTTTCTTAGGTTTATTATAGCTAGAAAATAAAACCCATCAGTGCCTTGATTTTCAGTCATGCTGCAAATGTTTCAATCTAATATAAAATCATTTAAAATATTTAGAAAAATAAAACAGGTCATATCATGTTTAGTGAAGTGGAAAAATAACTTTTTCTGAAGATCGTTGAAATACAACAACAAAAGACTTTATTTTTTTTTAATGTATTTTCTACATTGCAAAAGTTTCTATATTCATGCAAAGTGTTAGTCAGCAGTGTTGCTTTCAGCTAAAATGACAATACAACATTTTCTGTTATGCACATTTTCAATTTGCTTCGTCAGAATGTGTTTCTCTAATGAGCAAGTCATCTGCAACAGTTTGCAATGGGGATGATACAATGTTTGCATTTAACTGTTGCATTTCACAGCTCTGCAGAAATAAGCAGAAGAATAATGTGTGCTACAAAATACAGCAAGAAAACTCATACACTTCTGCATGCAAACACAGATGGGGAATCATGCTTCGATGATATTTTTCACCCATTCATCTCTGGGATTGAGGCACGTCTGTCCATTTTTCAGAGTGGCACTGTGTGAGACAAAGAAATAATGTTGAGCACTTTTTGGTCATCAAAATCACATGCTTTTAATTTGAATCCACCATGCATTCAGACGTCTGCATTGCATTGATCTTTGGTTTATGTCACACTCACATGATCTCCACGTTTTTGCATTGTGCTCCAGCAGGAATCATTCGTACTTTCTGTATTAGTTTAGGGTTAATTGGTTTTCCCGAATACGTTTGAATACACTGGCAGCGTAGCTGTTGGGCCGGCAGTCTGGCCGCAATGACTAAATGAAACGAGAGAGAAATAAGAATATTAGCCTCTTTGTAAGCTCTTACAAAACTTTTTCAACACATACTAGCATTTTTTAAACCTTTAAATAATAATAAATGCATTAAAATACTCTCAAAAACAATGGATATTGTCAATCTTACCTTCTGTTGTGGACAGCAGCATCATGCAGGTCAGAAAAACAAAGGCTGATGTGGTGAACTTCCTCATTGTGCAATTTCCAACTGAGTGATTACTGCATAAGTATATGAACAGTAAAGCTGCAGACGTTTCTTCAAGAAATTGACTTTGTGTATACTTTGGTGGGACTTTCTCTTTTTAAAGAACCCCACTGCTGACATCACACTTATCAAAACCAATTGTGCAACAGGTCCTCCTTCAGTGAACCCAGATTCCAGAGAAGGAACCCAAGAGCATTAGAATAAAGCATGTTTTTTAAACACTTACTGATGATATATTTTTAACAGTTTGACAAGCATTTTCAACCAGAAATGATCTGAGGTAAGTAAGGCAGGCCTTCCTTGTGTTTGTGAATTGATGAAAAGCCAATAATATGTCATAAATGTAATCTATAAATGTAATATGAATGTAATAAATGTAATATGGTGGGGGAGAGGATTTATATTACATTTAATTACTGACCCTAAAGTGGTGCCCTTTTGGTCCAATCTAGGTGATCAAAAGCTAGAAAAGCACTGTTACTACAAAGAGGCCTACATAAACTTTGGATATAGATGGATGGAAATGGCACATGCAAATTTGGTGAGAAACTAGTTGAACATGTTGAAAGCTGCAAACACTTGCCGAGGCAGTCCTCTGGTGTTTACACCAAACCAAGCCAAATTCTCAAAAAACTCATTCAGCTGACGAGCCTCTCATGCTGCACATATGAGAAACTATGTTTGAAGCAAAGAAATCTGAAAGGTAAAAATACCACTCACCCTTAAAACTGTTAATGTAATAGAGTTTAAATGATAATAGTTTACGTTGCATTATACTATGCAATTTTTTAATCAACTGAAATATATAACAAGAACAATAGCTATATGTACAGTGTTATAACTGATAAGAAAAACAAATGTTAAGTGAACATGCATACTGTAAACACTAATAAATTGGCAGAACTCAAAATTTGAGGTAATTAACAAACTCAAAGATTAAGTTAATTTTAAATTTTGATTTGGAACTACACAAACATGTTAATTGGAACTTAATTGAAATATTGACCTATAGCTAACCCAATTCATTGCATGGACATGTTAAAGGGGTCATATGATGTTGCTAAAAAGAACAGTATTTTGTGTATTTGGTGTAATGAAATGTTTATGCGGTTTAATATAATACATACTCATAGTAGCCTATATATAGCCTATAGTATGTATACTATACATACTCATAGTATGTTGACATGAGTATGCCAGAGATTCCCGGATGGTCTACTACGTCTGGTTAGAATTCGAAGTGCAGATTCACAATACATTGCGCGTTGGATGAAGATTCGATTAGAACTACATACACGCATAAAAAGTGTTAAAAAACTACAAACATGGGGGATGTGCAAGACCGACAGACAGGTAGAGAAAGGGGTTTGAGTGATAAATAAACAATGTCTAATGAAAAAATATTTATTTAATATTATCTGCGTTATATTTCATCTGCAGCGACACTGTGAACTTTATAAAGATATGTTTGGTGATAACTTTTAAATGCATCATTACGCAAAAACACGAGCAGAGTTCTCGGCATGATAGACCCACGACTGGCAGATCAACGTTCCTCTTCATTTCTCTCCAATGGACCTTTTTCACATTTCCTGGGTTCTCAGTAGCAGAAGTCATCATTTTTACCGTCAATTTACCGTCACTCCCACAGACAGAAACACCCTCGCTTTAGCGTTAACTAG